ACGCCGCCCCCCCACAGCCGCCACCGCCCCGCCCCCACCCAGCCCCCGCCTTCCAGTGGGCGGGGAGCGTCGCCGCTCCACCAGCTCCAGGCACCGCTCCACCAGCTCCAGACTCCGCTCCACCAGCTCCAGACACCGCCACACACCCCGAGGCGCCGCCGCCGCCGTCAGCTGCGGCGGCGGCGCCAAGGGCAGCTGCGGCGGCGGCGGCGGCGACGTCGTCGTCGTCGTCGGCGGCGGCGGCGGCGTCACCAGCACCGGAATCGGAGTCGGCGGCGGCGGCGGCGGCGGCGGCGGCGGCGGCGGGGCGTGGAGGCGCGACGAGTCTTGACCTGGCGGCGTCGCCGGAGCCGCTGTTCTCGGTGGCCCTTGTGCGGGGGCCACCTGCGGCGGGCAGGCGTGGTGCAGAGGCTGACCAACCTGCTCCTCGCTCCCTTAGGTTGCCCCGGCGCGTCGGGCTCCGCGCGTGCTGCTGCGCGACGCCGTCTCGCGGCACGCTGAGGGAGGCCTACCGCCGGCGTCAGCGCAGAGGCGGCTCGGCACTAGAGGGGGAGAGACGTGTTCGTGTATTCCAGCTAGCGCTCGAGAGGACACTACGGACTCCGCTGCATTCGATGTGTTCGTCGCCCCCGCGTTCGCGCGGTGCTCGGAGTACTTCGGCACAGTACCTCGAGGTACCGACGTACTCTGCACAGTACCGCCTTCCCGCGCCCCGACGTTGGCGTTGGCGTGTCCACACCCCTTAGCCCGCGGGAGACACGGGGGAGATACGGGGGAGATGCGGGGGAGATACGGGGGAGATATGGGGGAGATACGGGGGAGATACGGGGGAGATATGGGGGAGATATGGGGGAGATATGTCCACCCACACCGTAGGCTGCTCGTCGAGGCCGCCTCGCAGGCGCTGGCGAGAGCGGGCGGCTGGAGAACGAGGTGTGCCACGGTCCGTGACCCAACGTGTTGCTCGCCAGGCGCTCGAGAAGTTCGAGTACCAGCCGCAGGAGCCGTGCTTCCTAGACACTTCCTAGACACCTCCTAGACACTTCCTAGACACTTCCTAGACTGAACCAGCCGCAGGAGCCGTGCTTCCTAGACACTTCCTAGACACCTCCTAGACACTTCCAAGACACCTCCTAGACTGAACCAGCCGCAGGTGCCGTGCTGCCTCCTCGCGCAGCTGCGGCTTGAGCAGCGCGTCACTTAGCTTCGAGTCGGCGGCACAATAGGAGCAGTGCTTCCTCGCGCTGCTGCGGCTGCGCTGCGCCGCCTCGGGCGCCTCGGCGGCGGTGGCGGTGGAGGAGGGGCTGCTGGAGCGCCTCCTCTCGGGACGGAGCTAACTCATTCTTTCATTCATTCAATTCATCCATTCATTCATCACGAATTAGGAGCGCCTCCTCTCGGGACGGAGCGCGGCGCAGCTGGCGGAGGCGATGCAGTCACAGGACAAGGCCGCAGTTAAACGTGATGCAGCCGAGATATGGCCAAGGTAGCAGAGATGCCGCTGGCGGAGGCGGTTCAGTCGCAAGGACAATGAAGCCAACGCAAGCCCTCCTCACAGACGCACAGCCCCCGGGCCCCAGATCACACGCACGGACAGTCGAGAGCGGGCAGACAGACCTCCACACACCTCCTGCGTTGCTCACACCGCCTGGCCCCTCTAGGCCGCCCGCAAGGAGGCCAAGCAGGCAGCGAGGTCCGCGCAGGCCCGGCTCAAGGCGGCGGAGGGCGTCTTTGAGCTCGGCGGCTCCAAGCACGGTTTGGCTGTGTTCGAGCTGCCACGCGATGGCTGAGAACGCGGGGTGCACTCTCTCTGCCGGGGCGCTGTTGTTCCGTCCATCGTGCGAGTGGGAGCGTCGACGAGAGGCGCGCCGGAGCGGTGTTTTGTGTGATTGTGCATTTGTTCGTGTGCGGACCGTATCGCGCAGCACCGCCTCCCCCACCAAGTAAGTGACACGGCACAGGTTCCACATATTGCCTCGCAAGCTGGTATGTGTCCTGTGAAGTGATCTTGTGTCGACTCTCACTTTTGATATGTCTATGTATTTTGCTGGGGCTCCTGCCCGTGTCCGGGCGTGGAGATGCGAGGGTCGCCCCCCCTTGCCCCACCATTTTGTGTGCGTGTGGAGACGTTTACCTTACCTTACGCTTACCTTACCTTTGCTGAGCGTGCACAACCACCGAGATCCACAAACAATGTCTCTCTAAAGTACTTAAATCTCCATATAGAGCGTACCCCTTTGCGTGTAATTAGTTCTGAAAAGTGTTATACCCTCATGGGGCACAAGAAAGAAGCTGTACGGTCTGTGCTGCTGGTGCTGCGTCGCGAGGTGTCGCGTGTCGCTGTCGGGCTGTCGAGCTGTCAGCGCTGCTGTCTCAGGGCTCAGGCCACTGTGTGCTATCGGGCTGTCAAGGTAGTCTTGCGCACCACTTGTGTCCGAGGTTTTCTCCGGGGCCCAATTCAGTATTCTACTATTCACCCCTCACGCCCTCACGGGGCTCAAACACCCGGCCACGGCCACGCCCCCCACGACGGCGCCGGAGCGCGCGAAGTGTGTTAATATATTAAGGTGGTTGTGTATCGCGCGCCTTGCGGGGAGGGCGCGGAAAAGAGGAACCTCTTAGCGCCATCGCCATGGAGCTGCAAGCAGCGCCGGGCGACGACGACTTACCGCCTCCCGGTCCCCCTCGGCACACCTCCGCTGCTTAATGTTTGACGACTCGAACCCGTGAAGCTTCCCCGTGCGCGTGGTTCTTGAGAGAACGACCCGTGCCGTGGCGCAGGTCGAGTAGAGGGGGCCGCACACGCGTCCTTGCGGGCGGCCCGTTGTGAAGGATCGAGCGCGCCGAAGCGAGGCGTGCTCATGTCGCAAGTGTCGCCGCCGCCGCAAGGCGGACGGCGCCCACCGCCCAGCCAACGGTGGCTAGGGCGGGTGAAGGGTGAATCCGAGCCGCCCGCACGCTCGTGTGGTCGGGAGGCGCATGTAGAGCACGCCGTGCGCAAGCACAGGTGCGCGTTCGGAGCGCTCGAGTCGCAGCAGCGACGGCTGTTGCTTACTGGTTTGTGGCACACCACGCGTCTCGCGCGGTGGGTGCTGAGATACGCCCCGGGCACGATCGCTGGGGCGGCTGCATGGCTAGAACGACCCGTGCCGTGGCGCAGGTCGAGTAGAGGGGGCCACACACGCGTCCTTGCGGGCGGCCCGTTGTGAAGGATCGAGCGCGCCGAAGCGAGGCGTGCTCGTGTCGCAAGTGTCGCCGCCGCCGCAAGGTGGACGGCGCCCACCGCCCAGCCGGCAGGCGAGGGTGGGGGAAAGGTGAATCTGAGCCGTTCGCGCGCTAGCGCGGGCGGGTAGGGTATGTCGAGCGCGCCGTGCGCGAGCACAGGGCGCATGGAAACGTAGCAGCGAAGGCTGCTGCTTCCTGGTTTGTGTGGCACGCCGCGCCTCTCGCGCGGTGAGTGCTGAAACACGTCCCGAGCTCGCTGTACACCTTCCCGAGGAGCGCAAGGGCGAGGTCACGTCCACGAAGGTCTCCAAACAAGTACGATCTGCTCGACGACGTCGAGACGAACGTCAAGGCGGAGACCGACGAGGACGAGAACGAGAAGAAGGCAAAGGCGAAGGGCGCGTCGGGCAAGGAGTCCACGGTGCGCGCCCTCCCACACAGACGACACACACTGCCCCGCGCCTTTGCTTGACAGCGCGTTGCGCGCGCCGCAGTTCGAGTCTGTCTCGCCCGAGTCTGTCGGTGGCATTGGCAAGCCGCCCCGCGGCTCCACGCCGTCGACCACAGACTCGGTGCTCGCCGCCTGCTTACGCCGGGTTCCCTTTTGCCCGTAGCTCACAGCCAGTCTGACTCTCACGCCCCCTGTTCAGGGCGCGACGATCGATGAGACCGCGACGGTCGAGAAGACCGCCACGCCGGAGGGCTCCGTCTCCGCCTCCGGCTGGTCCTCGGAGCCGACGCCCGACGGCGGAGCCACGGGCGGGTGCGACCTTTTTGGGGGACATGAGCTCGCCAGGACGTCACCGATGGCTCGGCGCGCCTCTTCCCGCCTGCGCGGGGCGGCCTGCCTACAGGAGCGAGGGGGAGGAAGACGGAACTGAGCCCTAGGTTCGTGCAAAAGCGCCGGCAAAGGCTGGGAGAGGGGCGGCAAGCGACGGGCGGGTGAGCGACCTTTTGAGCGGCCGTGAGCCGGCAGGGAGGCCGGCGATGGCTCGGCCAGCTCCTTCCCGGCGGGTTCTCGTCGGGCTGTGCCTGGTCGGCCGGGCTCGGGTGAGGTGAGTGGGCCCGGGAGTCGCATCTGCGCGTCCCCGGCAGTGGCAGTGTAGGGGTAGATGGGAAGTGCGGAGATGGGAGGCAACGCGCCTGTTTGATGGCCGCACCAGGCAAAGTTGGGCGCTCCGAGCGTCTTCTCGGCGAGAACGAGCGGGCTGTGCATCGTGGGGGGGTGACTGAGAGGGAGGTGGTCGTGCGCTCACTTTGTCGGCCGCGCGCGAGGAGAATACTGGGTGTGTGGCGCGCAGGAGGCGAGGGTGGGCGCGCCGGCGGTCGAGCCACCGAAGAATTCGACGTGGCGCAGCTCCGCGCCGGCGGGGACGACCGAGCACATGATGTCGGCGGCGGTCGCGCGACGAGCGAGAGCCGCAGGGGCCCTCTGTGGAGCAGGCGCGCGAAAGCAGCGATGAGTGGCGCTTCGATCAGCCACCTGTGGGCGGTCACAGGGGTCGCGGTCAAGCTCGCGACGGGGTAAATCTGGTGCGTCTAGTATCACTGGTGGGCTGGGTGTGCAGCAGCAGCGCTCAAAAAGAGGCAAAAAAAGCGGCTGCTACTTTGAGTGTCTACTCTTTCGGCGCACCGTGCTCGGCCTCGCTGAAAAGCTGGCTGGTGGTCGCGCGCAGCGCGTCAGCGCCACTCCGACTGGTTGGGCACCTCGGCTGGGTCCATCAGCAAGAGGCCCGCGCCGTCGGGCGGCCCCGGGAGCGCATGATGCCCCTCCGAGAGGCGCTGACGCCCCGCCGAGATCGCGCTGGTTTGGCACGAAAAACGAGAAGCGCGCGGGGGGGGGTCCGAATAAGTTACATCATAGCATCCTCGCCGCGGCGGCCGACGGCACCCTCGCTTTCGATTGCGTGAGAGCGTTTTCATCTGTTTCACAGTCGCTTACTTCTACTAGGCACCCTCGGCTTCGACGTCGTCTCCTCCTTCTCGCTGGCCGACCCGTCCGCCAAGGCGGCCTTCCTCTCGCTCGCCACCGCGACGGCGACGGTCACGCTCACCCCGACGCACAAGCTGCCCGCCGGCCCGGCAAAGGCGCTCAAGCAGGCGTCCGAGGTTGCCGTCGGAGAGACGATCTGGCTCGCGTCGCCGGCCGCGGGCACGCTCGTGCAGGCGCGTCTCTAACCCCAGCACCACAAACGCCCCTGCCTCTCCCGATGCGAGCCCCCCCCCCCCCCCCTCTCCTGCCAGGCGCCCGTCCTCAAGATAACCAAGGTCGTGGCCGACGGGCTGCACAGCCCGCTCACCAAGCACGGCGGCTGGCCGGTCGTCGACGGCGTCGCGACCTCGTACAACAGCGCGGCTGTCGTCGCGCGCAACAAGTACCTCCTCCCGCTCGTCGAGGCGGTCTGCCCCTCCCTCGGCCGCCTCGTCGTGGCGGCCGTGAACCCCAAGCCGATGCACTACATCGATGGCGAGGTGAGCCCTCTCCCGCCGTCCCAAGCTGTATCTCACTTGTCCCCACTCCTCCCCACCCCGCCGCCCACTTTCGCTTCGTCGCTCGACCAAAGGTGGTCGAGCCAATCTCGTCGCTCGAGGTCGCCGCTGCCGTGGCCGTCACGGCCGCCGCCACTCTTGGCGTGCGCAAGATCACGGCGCGCAAGTAATGTGCGAAGCGGCGATCCAGCTCGGATCGCGCGGTTACGTGTTCACGCTTGCGGGCGTGCGGTGCCGACGGAGCGGCGCCCCGCACGCCAAAGAGCCCCCCCCCCCCCCCTAGCATGTGGTGAAGCCTCTGGGGGAAGAAGGGGAATTTGTTCCATCTCTCGATACACAATGTGTGTAACGCGCGCCTTGCGTGGGGGGGCGCGGAAAAGAGGAACCTCTCTTAGCCATAGCGTCATGGCCATGGTGCTGCAAGCAGCGCCGGGGGCGACGACGACTTACCGCATACCGCCTCCCGTCGGAGTACGGAGATAGCCGCGCAGCGGCTATGTAGGCTTCTCAAATCCGAGGCTTTTAAGCCAAAGCCGAGGCTCGTCGGACAATTCGAGGCTTGTTAGCCATATTCGAGGCTTGTCAGCCACGCTCGAGGCTTGTTAGCCAACCCGAGGCTTGTTAGCTATCTTCGAGGCTTGTTAGCTAATTCGAGGCTTGTTAGCCATTCGAGGCTTGTTAGGATTCCTAGCCAAATCCCGAGGCTCTGGAGCGCTGTAGAGCTGTAGAGCTCTACATCCGCCGCGTGACGAGGCGGGTGCGTTGTAGAGCGATGTAGAGCGCGATTTTGCTGTAGAGTTTGTTGTAGAGGCTCTACAGCGTACAGCCAACCCGCCGGGAAAGGCAGTGACCGGCGCCTCGTCGCCAGACGTCACAGCGGCGTGGACGCAGGAGTGTGCGGCGACGAGTACCGGCAAATCCGGCCCGGTCGGGTGTGGCCGGCAGCTGCCTAGTGCTGGCCTGTGACCGGCGCCGCGGTGGCGGCTCGCCGCCGTGGCGGCGGTCGGCCGCAGGTGCGAGCGCGTGATGGCCATCGTGCGGCACCGGCAGAGAGTCCGGCGGCAAATTTTTTCAAGAAACACCTTTTGCGCGAGAGCCGCGCTTCAGTGCGCATGCCCAGCGTGTACGCAAACACAGACAGTAAATCGGCGTCTAAGCCCTCGGACGCCTCCTCGCGCTACCGCCCCGCCGCCGCCCCAGAGTCTGCTTCCATGGCACCCTCGCACGCCGCGAGCAGCGCGCCGATGGGCAGCGCCGCCTCCGTCTCGCCCGGCCTCCACCGTGCCGCCTTGTCGGGTGCCGCCGCGAGCTCGCGCGCCATCTGCGCCGAGCCGTAGTCGTAGAAGCGCGACGAGCAGCTCGCGTCCGACCTGTTCACAGCCAGGGCTGTGAAGAGGCGCCGGCCGGGCGGCGGGAGGCGGCACCAGAGCAGCGCCAGCGGAACTGGGGCGGTATCTCGGCGGTACTCGGCAGTCTCTCGGCTGTAACTCGGTTGCACCTCGGCTGTATCTCGGCTCTATCCTCGGCGACATCTCGGCGACATCTCGGCGACATCTCGGCGACATCTCGGCGACATCTCGGCGACATCTCGGCGACATCTCGGCGACATCTCGGCGACATCTCGGCGACATCTCGGCGACATCTCGGCGACATCTCGGCGACATCTCGGCGACATCTCGGCGACATCTCGGCGACATCTCGGCGACATCTCGGCGACATCTCGGCGACATCTCTGCACCAGAGTAGCACAAGCGGGCTCGGTCCGGCCTCGTACAGTCCTTCGTTGTGGTAGAAGAGCAGCCCGTCGCGCGAGGCGCCTATTCACGCCAGGAGGTGTGACTAGAGGCCGTCACCGCATTCGCCTTGGTGCGACCCAATGCTTCCTTCTGACTGTCGTCGCTGTCTCTCTCCCTTCCCGACTGCCTGTGCTCGTGCGATCTGGGGCCCCGGAGTCGTGGGGGTCTTTGCGGGAAACGCCCTACCTCTCCCTACTGTCGGCGGTCTCTCGGCTGTCTCTCGGCTGCCTCTCGGCTGCCTCTCGGCTGCCTCTCGGCTGCCTCTCGGCTGCCTCTCGGCTGCCTCTCGGCGGTCTCTCGGCGGTCTCTCAGCTAGTTCGCGCCGCCGCCGCGGTAGTATGCGGTGGAGAGGGTGGCGGCGGAGCAGCGGCCGGAGGGAGGGAGATGCACGAACCGGCACGGGTTGGTCGACGCCTAGTCAATGTGCATTCATGGCCATCACTAGTAATTAACACTGCTCCTCGGCCAGCTTCACTACTGCGAACTGTCTGGCGCCTGGCGATCGGCGTGCACCTCGGCCAGCTTGCTCGCCTGCCCCGCGGGACGGTCACAGTCTCGCCTTGGCAGGTCGATCACTCTCGGCTGCACCTCGGCTGCACCTCGGCTGCCCCTCGGCTGCCTCTCGGCTGCCTCTCGGCTGCCTCTCGGCTAGATCTCTCGGCTGCCTCTCGGCTGCCTCTCGGCTAGATCTCTCGGCTAGATCTCTCGGCTGCCTCTCGGCTGCCTCTCGGCTGCCTCTCGGCTGTCTCTCGGCTACCTCTCGGCTGCCTCTCGGCTACCTCTCGGCTACATCTCGCCGCCCAGAACACGCGCTCCTCGTAGGGGTGGTCGACCAGCCGCAGCCCCTTCCACGCCAGCAGGTCGAGCACCTACCAAGGAGAGGCGCCGACGCGCTGAAGACTTTTCGGGCCACGTCACCCCTCCGAGTCGCACTGCCCCTAGCGGCGGGGGCTGGCTAGCGGGCTGGCTCTCTCACATAGCCTCTCACATAGTACGTCTGCTCCGCCTCGGCCCACACGCAGTCGAGCTGGACGTGGCCCGCGCCTATGGCAGCCGATCTGAGGAGGGCTGGTGCGAGGCAGTCCGCAGCCCACCTGGTCCGCATCTCTCCCCCCCCACACACCGCCCGCCGCCCGCCGCCCTCCCGGCAGCGCCGACGGGAAGCGGCGCGGCGCGCAGCCCTTCGCGTGCCTCCGCGTCTCCCCGCCGCCGGTGGTGACGAGGCAGCGCACGCCCGCCGGCCGCGCCACCACCGACCAGCAGCTCGGAAGGTCCTCGGGGACGTCGACCATCCACTCGGGCGCCATCAACGCTGCCTCCCGCCCTGCTGGCCGCCGCCGCCGGCCACCGCCGCCGCCGCCCTCGGTCTGCATCGCGTCGTCGCCGGCGCCGGCGGGTAGCGGCTCCGACGTATCCAGCATCGGCGCTGAAGCATCGCCGCCGTCTGTCTCACCCATCCACTCTGCATGGCCGCAGCCGCCGCCGCCGCCGGCGTCGCCACCGTCGCCCAGGCCACGGTTCTGGGCGGTGCGGTCCGCCCGCCGAGAGCGCTGCCGCTCGAGCAGCTCCGCACGCCGGCGGCGCTGCTCCGCCTGCTTGGGCTGACGCGCCTTGACGGAGAGCCTCTCCATGTCGTCGTCGAGTCGACGAGCGGGCTGAGTGGGTTCCCGTTCACAGCCTTGTTATTGAGGTTCTCGAGGTGGATATCCTTTGGCCGCGTTGGGTAGCGAGGATTGGTGTAACCCGAGCCACGTGTTTTCTGGCGGCCGACCGTCAGTGCACGGAGTTGCCACTTCTCCGACTGCCCCGGCTAGTTCCCGAGGTCGTCGGGTGTGACCCCTTCGTCCCCCGCCCGAGACCTTGAGAAGATATACGTCCTATGGCGCTGTGCGCTGGTCTGTGAGAGGTTGAGGTGCGAGCCCTGGAGGCCCTGGGAATGGGGGGAGACTACCCGCGGGCCTAGAAGGCCCGCGCGCAGGGGGTTGGGGCATTGAGACCGGTCATGAATGAGTGCGCGACACGCATGTTGCGAGCAGCGTTGTTGATGTTTTGCGCGTCGCCACAGACGGCGGCGCGTGAGAGCTGTTGCGAGTGGTGCTGGGCGAAGCCCCGGGCGCTGCACCTGCAGGAGGCTGTGCCGTAGTCGGTGCGGTCGACGGCGCTCGGGCTGCCAACCTCTTTGGCGAAGTTGAAGATGATTCTCTTGGTCGGCGGCGCGATGCCGCCCTGGCTTTCGACGAGACAAATTTTGACGATTCCGTTCTTGACATGGAGCGCGTCGTAGTACTGTCCCTTGTGCCCTTTGACACCCAGCCTTTACCGGTCGCATGGACGAGCGGGCCCTGTGACTTGTGGCCGCGCTCTTTGCACCCAAGAACCTTGAGCAAGGTTTGGTCGAGGGTGTTGCCGAAACCAAACTTGTGGCCCAGTGACGCACAGCATCCGCCGTGTGCCGCCGAGCCCTGCCCAGCCTGCCTCGTCTTTGTGAGCAAGGACCGGCACGCCCCCCTCTTTGGGCCCATTCCCTTGTCCAAAGTTCGAGTGATATGAACTATTTTGGGTACCAAGGGTATGTGCTGCTAGATTTCGCTGAGCTGAGCTCATATCTGCCTTTGGTAAGCTGTTTTGAGTTCGGGAATGTCTCCGGTAAGCTGTTTCCGTGTACGGAGGGCCGCGTCCGGACGATCATGGTGCCCCCCCGGACCCCCCGTGCGGGGGCCTTCTGGGACGGTCGGTGGGGTTGGTCTCGAATTCGGCCCTTAGGCCGTCCCTAGCTGTGAAGAGCAAACGGGACGGTATACCAACCCACCCGCGCTAGGTCTCGGGCGGCGAAGGGGCCACTCCCGACGACCTCGGGACGTACCTCGGGAACTAGCCGGGGCAGTCGGGGGCAACTCCGTGCACTGACGGTCGGCCGCCAGAAAACACGCCTGCGTGGATCGCGTCACACCAATTCTCGCTACCCAACGCGCCCAAAGGATATCCACGCATAAATAAATAAATAAAACGGACACACCAAACAAGGGGTGGGAGAAGGACAGGGTCCCCACCTGCACGAGCAGGATCTTGGAAGGACATCAGGGACACAGGGGAATGGGAGCGGGGAGCGCATCGCGACACGGAGGGGGGCTGGGCAGGGTTCACCCACACGACAGGGTGGGTCCCAGGGATTCTCCTCTCGTATAGGACACGCAGAACCTCGGGGAGGTGTTGGCTGGGGCTGCAGAAGCAGCGCATCTCAGTCGTTCTTCACACGGCCATCGCAGAGCAGATTGTGAATGAGCTTGCCTGCGGCGAGGGCGGTCGAGTGCACGGAGCTAAGTGCCTCGCCGTCCTCGCGGGAGTCGCTTAGGCGGCTCCCGTGATGTACCTGTGTTAGTGCCAGTGCGCGCCAGTCCCGTGCCTATAGTGTCGTGCGAGGGAGTGGTTGTCAAATTCTTTTTGCTGCTGGGACTTGGCCTTGTCGGCGGCCGTTTATACCGCGGCGATGTTGCTGCTCCTGTGGCATTTGACGCTAATCGCCCTCGTACTCGCCGCCTTTGCGGCCGCAGCGGCTTGTCTCGTGCTCTGTCGTAAATCAAATTCTGTACCGGTGCGAGCCAGTCCCGTGCCCAGTGTCGTGCACTTGGTGCGAGGGAGTTTCGTAGTAAAATTCTTTACCGGACTCCCCCTCCCACTACTCGGTTGCCCAGTGGGCGGCTATCCAGGCGGCTGAGAAGGCGGCATGGGACGCGGCGCGCTGCCGTAGGTTTAGGGCGGCTTTGGACGCTATGCCGGAACAGGGGCCGGGATGTTGCGACGGAGGGCCGGAGCTATGGGCTGGCGCCACGACGTTGCAGGACACGGAGGGGTGGAAGGAGCTGGTGAAGGCGGGAAAGATTCTGCTCTTCGACGAGGATCGGGCGGTGGTGATGCGATATGCTCCTGGCGGGGGGCGCGGTCGAGGGCGCGGGGGTGGGTCGCGCAGTGCCCGCTGGCGGGGCAAGCGGCGAGGGGGTCGCCGGGGGGGTTGGGATGATGGGGATGGTCTTTTCGGCGAGCACTACGGTGCTCGCGGATTCGACTGTCCCCCCGATCGTGCCCACCTCCATGAGGACGACGGCGCCTTCTAAAGGTCCGTCGCTGGCTGTGCCTCTTTTGGTACCTGTGTCGAACCGCGGGAGAGTTCTTTTTGTTAAAAATCTAAAATTCTTTTTGTTGCACTCTTTGGCGAAGGATGTCGGTCGCAGGGTTGGTGGCCATCGCGACGACTGGCCTGCTCCTGCCTGCGGCGCCGCGCCTAGTCGCACCGCGCGCAGCAAGCTTGCGACGTGATGTGAGCATGCAGTATGACCAGGGCGGCTACGGCGCGCAGCAGTACGGCCAGCAGGCGCATGCCGCACCCGCAAGCACAGCGCCCCTCGCAGCTTCGCCCTCACCGTTCCGCTGCGCCCTCGCGCTTCCCGCACATACGCACACGGCGCCGCCGCCTTTGCAGGGAGGCTACGCCGGGCAGCAGCAGCAGCAGGGCGCGCTGTGGTGCATTTACCCGGTCGCGGGCGTCAGCGGGCACACACGCTTCCAGGCTTTTGTGACCTCGCAGCTCGCTCTCACCCCCCCCCCCCCCCCCCCCTCTCTCTCTCTCTCTCTCTCTCTCTCTCTCTCTCTCTCTCTCTCTCTCTCTCTCTCTCTCTCTCTCTCTCTCTCTCTCTCTCTCTCTCTCTGAAGCGCACACGGACGCTACCTCGAGCTCCGCTCTCACTCCCTCCCCCTCTCGCTAGGCGTTTGGGCCGCAGTATGCCTCGGCCACCCAGAAGTACTCCACCATCCCGTACGCGCTCTCCTTCTCCGAGTACGAGTTTGTGCTCGGCCGATGGAACATGATGAGCCCCTCTCCGTACGTCAGCCGGAAAGCCACGCCCGGCGGCGGTCCGTCTCGCCGCTCACCGGTTTGCCGATGATCGCCGCGGCTCTACTCTCGTAGGCAGCAGTGCCTCGTCCAGCTTCTGCAGGACGGCAACGCGATGCTGACCTCGACCGGCAAGCCCGCGACCGGCGTGCGCGCGCGGGGCGGACAGTGGAACGCACTGTACACCGGGCAGACCCACTACCTCTCTGACGGCGACGAGGTGGCCCTCGACGCGCAGAGCCCGGACAGCGCCGTGTTCACCTTTGAGCACCTCGCGATGCAGGGCTTTCAGCAGCAGGGCTATCAGCAGCAGCAGGGCGGGGGCTACTACTAGATTGCGCTGCCGAGCCGCCGCAGAGGGCCGGGCCGCAACCCACGGCAACCGTGCCGTTTCGCTCTTGCCTTCGCACTGCCGCGTGCGATCGTCTGAGTTTTGCCCCCACGGAAGTTTTCTCGTGAATGAATAATCACTGTGTATCCAGCGTGCGATCTAAAGGGTGTGGATGCAGGGTTGACGGATCGGGGGACGCGACCCACTTCGCCACAGACGGTCCCGCGCCTCGCCGCTAAGTTTGCGGCACGCCCCGCACCGTCCGCTGTGCCGCGTTTTTTGTCCGGAGTGAAAAGTCCAACGCGCTCGTCGGTGACGGTGTCCTCCAACCTGCGCCGCGCTCGGCGAACCTCGACAGCGCCTTCGGTGGCATGCAGCTCTTTGCGCCTGAAGCCTGGAGAGCAGCTCCTCTGCTGCTCACACACTCTGCACAGTTGACACAGCCTACTGTGCGGCTGCTACAGCTGTGACAGCGATGGGCTCGCCCTCACTGGCCCTCAGTCACTTGTGCTGCGGCTTGTGTGAGCGACACTGCTCGGCGACTGCCGGCACACTGTGAGACCATGGGTGTGAGGTCAAACCACGCTACCAGCGCTTGGTCACATCGGCCCCGAGGTCAGAGATCCATCTACTCTGTTGATGACAAGACTTGTCTACCGGCTGGAGCCGAGCAGGAGGGCCCGGCGCACAACCCCCTGGTCAACTCACCCTCCACACCCCGTACTTTTGCGCGCGTCGTGTTTGCTAGCTTTCGTTTTGGCAATGTCCACTGACTCATGGCACCAGCCTGACCCTGTGCCATGAGCGCTGTGGTCAGTTGCGATTTGTGCGCCGGCGACGCTGCAGCGGCGACGACGCTGCAGCGGCGACGCTGCTGCATGGGGTGTCCTGTAGCCTTAGCGCTTAGGTCCATAGGTGCTGCGCCTGCACAGCACCTTGTGCAGTGGCAACGACTCCTGGCACTAGTGAGCTTGATGTCCTCAAATGTCCACAGAGTATACTGGTTGTGCTCACAGGTTGTGCTACATCAACAGGGGTGCAACTTTGAGAGGCTGCAACTATAAGGGATGAAACAGCTTTGCAGCTGCTGCCCAAGTTTTGTTATGGGCTGCAACTGCATCCTGCCACCTTGGATACCTCGACACCTTAGACGCTAACACCTTGACAACACTCGACACCGCTCGACACGCTCGACACGCTCGACACGCTCGACACCCTCGACACCACTCCTCGACACCTCGACACGGACCTAATGTATGGCATGGTCCCAGCCTAGACAGGCCTCGATAGGCCTCGACAGGCCTCGACAGGCCTCGACAGGCCTCGACAGGCCTCGACACCTCTATCCCTCGACAGCAGCTCGACACCCTCGACACCCGGCCTCGACACCTCGACACCAGGCTCCAGGGCTCAGACCGCGTTTGCGTTTTGGCTTCCGGAAACTCACGTACAGGCCAAGTCGCTCCACCCCTGCGAGGTCCTGCACCAATCGTACAAAATGAATAATCCGCTGGAACTCGTGGAGTCGATCTAAAACATTTAAGGCTCAGCCCGTGTGTATGAGAGAGCAACCCGCATGACACACGGCAGTCTCGTGATTGCCTTTTTCGCCCAGGGCCCAGAGATAAAAGTTAAAACTTCTGATGCCATGCGTGACCTAGTAGTAGCTAGTAGTGTCCCCATCTATGGGGGCGTGTCCACGTGTTGGAGCCAGGCGTGGTGTGGACGCGAGACGAAACAATAGATGGAAAGGCAACCGAACCGACCGACGCGAGCGAGTGTGCGAGTCCTCGTCACACTCGACTGGTGTTGTGTTGTCGTCGCGGGCTTGGTTAATTGCAGTGGTGTAACCGCCGATCCATGGCGCGCGTAGCTATGACAGGGACCGCGGCCGCGGACCCGGTGGCGGACGGGGCTGGCGCGCAAGCGCCGGCCACCGTCGTACTGCCGGGGATGCGCAGCGGACCCTGGAATCGCTCCGATCGCGCGCAACTGGAGGACGCGGTGGGTGTCGCACGGTTGTTCGGTGCGTCGTGTGTCAGGCTGATAAGGCCTGGCTACGCGACCATCGAGGTCGACCTGAAGCACGAGAAGGCCGCGGGCGACCGCGAGTCGGTGAAGGTGGCGGAGCGCTCGTACATCGAGCGCACCGCGCCGAAGAAGAAGGAGCTCACTGATGAGCAGCTCGCGGCTCGAACCGCGTCACGCAAGGCCAAGAAGATCCGGCAGAAGGAGCGCCGGGCGAAGGAGGCTGGCGAGCGCGCCGCGAACGAGGCCGAGAACGCGGAGCGCCCGCGCGCGCAGCTGCGCGAGAACATCGAGTACGTGATGGCCGGGCTGCGGTCTGCAGCTGCGCAGGCGCGCAGCCAGGCCGGGTCCAAAATAGGAGTCGAATACTCGCTGCCCCCGGAGAGGGACGACGGGTATCGACGCGGCCCCAGCAAGGTGTACGCCACAGTTCCCCAGGGGACCGTGGCGACGACGGTCGCCCCGGACTGGCTCGCGAACGAGCTGGCCGGGCGCGGCAAGATTGATGCGGCATGCCGCGACCGCATGGTCATGCACCTGATGACGGCTGCCGGCGCCTCGGCGCCGGCCGACGCCGTGTTCAGGTTCACGGCTGGCGAGGCAATGCAGACCGAGGACGACGACGAGGACGCCGACCGCTCCGAGGAGTATTCCGACGACGACGGGAGGGCGTCCGACTTGTAGCTGGCCTCACCCATATCTTACCCTCTGCCCCCCCCTCCTGCTACCCCCCAGGCTAGATGGAGTAGTCACAGATAGCCCCACACAGCCCCTTACCCCGGGTACTACCCCTTCACCCTCGCCTCGCTGTGTTTCTGAACACGTAGACGACCACGCTGTGGGGGTTGTGTTATAGGAGTAGGAGTGGGGTGCAGGTTGCTCACCCACGGCACCGGGCCGGTGCTTGCACTTTGAATGCCGTGGGGCTCCTGCCCGTGTCCGGGCGTGGAGATGCGAGGGTCGCCCCCCCTTGCCCCACCACTTTGTGTGTGTGGAGACGTTTACCTTACCTTACCTTACCTTTTCGTATCAAGAAAATATTCACTCACTCAGTCTGGCCTACAATTGATGCCCCGCTACTCTATGGCTACGCGACTTAGACAGCCTACACCAACGTACTATAGCCCCCCTTCTGCCTCTCGCGGCTGGGCCCTCGCCGCGGCCGGCGCGGCCCACGCGATGGCGCGCCCTTCATAGAGCGACGGATGGAGGTGGAGGGGTTGTAGATGGCGGCCGCCTCGTCGGACACGGCGGAGCCAAGGCTCTCGAGCACCCAGCGCGGGAGTGGTGGCATGTAGAGCGAGCCTTCGCCGTCGCGGCGGAAGGGGTTGCGGTGTGCCTCGGCGAGCACCTGTCATCGCGGGTGCAGGAGGTGACCGCCAGCCCAGCGAGTGGTTCGGGCTGCGCGCTCGGCGACGCGTGTCACGTGTGCGGTGCGATGTCCTGCCTCTCTTCCAGCGCGCCTGGCGTTGGACTGGCTGCTGAACCGTAAATACGTCGACGAAGCGCGCGAGCAGGTTGTCAGCGGTGGCGTGGACGTACGCGTCTGCCTTGCGCGTCAGCTCTCGCCAAACGTAATACGCCAGGGCTGTGCCCCAGATTGCCAGCGCGATCCAGCACGTCGTGACGGCAGCGTCCGCCTGCGCAATTGTCGCGGCCGTTTGACAAACCCCTACACCTGTCGTCGCCCCGCCCCCCCCCTCGCCAGTAGCACCCGCCGCCGCATACTTTCCAACGCCTCCAAAGGAGAAGACCGGGTTAGGGCCAACAAGCTCGCCAGCAGAGTGCATCTCCTCGTACTCGGTCAGGGCGGCGATGGAGGAGCAAAGCGGGTCGGCGTGAACGACGCGCCGCTGCTGCTCGAAGAAGAGGACCGTGCAGCCAAGATGCACGGCGATGGCGGCTGGCATGATGTAGCAGTGCACAACCGAGATGAGAAAGTCGGGGGAGCGTGGTGGCGGTGCAAAGCGACGGAGCAGGTTGTAGCGATCGACCCACATCGCGAGCCACATAAAGGCAGCCGTGAGGAGGGTGCAGAGAGGAAGAGCGGAGGAGTAGATCAGTGTAATGACGACGAGCTTCGTGACGAGCTGAAGCCGAAATGCAAGGTAGATGTCGGCCTTCGGCGAAAGGATCTGGTTCATCTCGCGCTGCGTATGCGCGGCCGGCGCGGCGACGTGCCGAGCATAAAGCAAGCCTGGTTGGAGCAAATCGATGCCAAGATTGATGATGAACGTGTCACCAATCAGCACATTCAGCACCATGCCCGAGCCATAGACGTACCACGAGTGGCGGCGGCCCACAGGCGTTAGGGCATCGCCTTCGAAAAAGTAGTAGACGGACGAGGCAACGACGGTGTTGAAAACCTGGAATCCAACCATCTTTGAAAACACCGAGAGCAGCACCTGTGGCTCATCCACGAGCTTCTCCCACCCCGCATAGTTGTCCTGCATGAAGCGATCGATGGTGGTGCGCGTGATGCGGCCGCGCGCCACTCGCTGCAGCGCGACCACTGCGCTCTCCTCGCGCGCCGCCTCTTGCTGCGCCACTGCTCCAAATGGGTCGACCCGAGCCCTCCCCGCCGCCAGCAGCGTGGTCCACCAGCCGGCGGCACCTGCTTGCGGCGAGGGTGCGGACGGCGTGCTGCGCTCAGTTGCCGCCGCGCGGTCCAGGCTCTTCAGCTGGCTCCTCTGGTTCCAGGAGGCACCGAGCCGCTCCAATTGCTGTATGGACGGCGACGGAGGCGGAGCGAGGGCGAGCGACGGCGCCGTCAGAGGCTGGAGGGCAGTCGCCGGCATCGCTGACACAACCACCCGCTGGCGATACGCAGCGCCAAGAAAGACCGAGCCGGAAGTAGCACCGCCCGAGCTTGACGACAGGATGGGTGGCTCTGTGGGCGTTCTACGCAGTGAGGCATGCGTCGGACTCCAACCGCGTCGGGTAGGGGAGGTAGGTGTCGGGGGCCCCTCCATGGCCTTCCGACTCGGCGATGCAGGCAGTGTGTGAGTGAGTATGAGCACACACACACACACACACGAAGTAGGCACACGTTGCAGCAGCAATAGCGCGCGAAGCGACCGCCGCGGCCCCCGCCCGGAACACACGGTTTTCGGCCGGGGCGGAAGGGAGGAAAAGAATTTAAACAAGACAACTCTCTCTCACAGCACACAGGCTCGACACAGGTGCGAACTGGCGCGTGCTAGTACTATCACCGGCACAGCACCGGAGCCGCCTAAGCGACTCCGTTAAGAACGGCAATGCACTTCGCTCCGTGCACAATGCCGCTGTCCCCGCACGCTAGCTCGTTCACCGTCTGTCTGCCACGCCACGGCGGTGTGGAGAACGACAGACAAGCGCTGCATCTGCAGCCCGTGCCAGTTCTTGGTGGTCCATGTGACCTCATCGAGGTGCTGAGCGTGCGAAAGTTTGTTACTCAGCTGGTCCGCCGCCTGCCGAAGAATTCTGCGGACGCCGTCCCCGAGGCGCCGAAAAGCAGCGTGAGCGGCGGCCGCGATCAGCCACCTATGGGCGGCCACCGGGGTGACGGTCAAGCGCTGCCAGGGTTGGATCTGGTGCGTCTCGTATCACTGGTGGGCTGGGTGTGCAGCAGCAACGCTCAAAAAGAGGCAAAAAACGCGACAACTGTTTGGAGTGTCTACTTTCTCGACACACCGTCCTCGACCGCGCTGAACGGCTGAAGAGCTGGCTGGTGGTCGCGCGCAGCGCGTCGGCGCGGCTTCGACTGGTTGGGCACCTCGGCTGGGTCCATCAGCACGAGGCCCGCCCCGTCGGGGAGCCCCGCGAGCGCATGGGCGGCCGGCGCGAGCGGAGAGGCGGGCTGAGATCGGCTGGGGTTTGGCACGAAAAGACGAGGCGCCAAGGGGGGGGGTGGAGCCTCGGTACCCTAGATTAGCCCTCTAGCTGTCTCGAGAGCTGGGCTTTTGAAGAGGAGTTATTGAGGAAAATATATTATGCCCCCCCCCTCGTCCGCGCGCTTGAGAGCTCACACACGCGGCACTACTGATCTCACATTGGACGGCCCCCTTACCCTCCCACTCCGCACGTCGATCGCGCGCTCCGCGCCACGCGCCCGCCGCCTCCATCCACATAGGCCAAGGTGGGTCTATGTGGCCTCCAGGAGCGGGGAGGCGCGGCAGTCTCACTTTCCACACCGCTCCTCAGACGTCGTCTGCCTCGCCGACGCTACGCTGCGCCCCGCCGCTAGCGACGATTGTGGCGGCGGCAAGCGTCGGCTTCTGGGCCGCCGCATCGTCCTCCGCATTGGTAAAGTCGAGCGATGCCTGCATGTCGACCAGAGCGCCGCGCCACTCCTCCACGTAGTCGAAGAAGGACTGCACCGTCGTCGTCGTCGCCGCGGCGAGCTCGGTCGGGTTGGTGAGCACCTGGCTCACTCGCTGCAGATTAACTGACTGACCAATAGGAACTATTCCTAACTGACCAATAGGCAACTCTTCCTAACGAACTATTCCTAACTGACCAATAGGCAACTATTCCTAACGAACTCATTCATGAATTGAGTCGGGTACGGCGAGCACCGACTCGCCCGTCGCGCTCTCGATGACGAGCTCCGCAACGCGCTCCACGATCGGCTTGTCCGAGGACGACCCCTCGGACGTGGGCGATGCCGCGGGCGATGCCGACGGCGACGCTGACGGCGAGCTGGACACCACACCCGGCGGGGAGAACACCGCCCGCGCGCTGCTCTCGGCGGTACTCTTCTTGACGGCGGCCGGCACCTACAAGAAAAGAGCCGCGCCGCTGAAGAAATGAGACGCGGCGCGCTTCTTGCCCGCTTCTTGCAGGCGGCCGGCACCGCCCGCTTGCGCGGCGGCTTCGAGACGCGCGGAGTGAGAGCGATCTCCGCGAGCGCCTCGCCTAACGAATGCTGACTGCTGCTCACCACTGCCAACCACTGCTACTCTCCGCGCGCGCCGCCTCGCCGCCTCCGCTGTGGTTGGCCATCTTGACAACGTCGGGTGCGAGCACAGCTAGCGCCTCCTCCGCCGCCGCGAGTGCGGCCTCGCGCTCCGCGAGCTCGCCCTGCACGTCGAGCAGCTCCTCCTGTTCACAGCCGGCCCTGTGAAGAGACGCCGTTCACAGCTCGCCCTGCACGTCGAGCAGCTCCTCCTGCGCGACCGCCGCCGCCTCCTCCGCCGCGGCGCGCGCCGCAGCCTCCTCTGCGATCTGGAACCTGGCATTCAAACAATTGTCGATGAATCGACTCATCGATGAATTGATGGAGAGCAGCTTTTGGAACCTGGCATCCATTAATTGTCGATTGATTGGTCAATCGATTCGTTGATGGAGAGCAGCCTCCTCCGCGATCTGGGACCGCATCTCGGCCGCCGCTGCCTCGGCCGCCTGCCGCGCCTCGCCCTCCCTCTCTGCAAGCATCTGCGCCGCCTCGGCCGCCGCCTGCGAGCGCGCGAGCGATGCCTTGAGCGCGGAGATCTCGTCGGCGCGCTCGGCGTCCGCCGCCTCGAGAGCCGCGGCTCGCTGGTTGAACTTGCGCTGCAGGTCGTCCTGCAGCCCGCAGTACCGCCAGCGGTTAGAGTGCTGTGGACGGAGCACACACCGCACGCCCCACCGCACTGATGCGTGCATCTCGTGACCGCTGTTCGGAGTGGCTAGAGGCCTAGACGCGGTCCTGCAGCCCCCCCACCGCCTCCTTGAGCTGCGTGGCGAGCTCGGCGCTCTGGCTCGCCTGCTCCGCGCTCTGGCTCGCCCGGTCCTCGCTCGTGCGCAGACTGCGCTGCAGCTCCTCGTTGCTGCCGCGCAGCTCGTCGAGCTCGTCCTACCGCACTACCAGGAGCTGCTCAGGAGGGGAGGAAAGAGGTCCTCCGAGCTCCTCGCTTCCAGCGCGTCTCCTCGACTGCGGCGGTGCGACGAATCGCCGCGGCGAGCTGCCTAATAGCAGTAATGAGAAGAGTCACAAGACTGAAAACAACAAGAATAGCACCGCTGCCCCTCCTCGGCGAGCTGCCTCTCCGCCGCTCTCGCCTGCGTGCGGTACTTTTCGAGCAGCTCGTGCTGGAAGAGGTGGCTGTCCTCCTCCGCCTCCGCCGCCGGCGGGGGCGGAGGCGCCGCGGCGATCATCGCCTTCGCCTCGCTGCCGCTCTGGTCTCGCTCGAGCGACTGCAGCCGCTTCATGCGCCGCTCTTCGCGCGGCGAGAGGACGGCCGCAGGCTTGGCTGGCGGCGGCGGCTTGGCCTAGGGTGAGGGCGAGGGCGAGGGTGAGGGAGAGGGTTTAGCTTGGCTGGCGGCGGCGGCTGGGCCGCCTCAGGCACGGCCGGCTCAGGCGCGGCACTGCCCTCCTCCGCCTCCTCCTCCGCCGCACGCGTGCTCATCGGGTCCACCAGCGCACCGTCCTCGGGCTCGCTGCTCCCGCCTAGGAGGTGTCTAGGAAGCGTCTACGACGTGTCTAGGAAGTGTCCTCGCTGCTCCCGCCTGCTAGTCCACAGAAACGACATCATGTTGACGCATAGCACGTCCGCCACCGCCCGCCCCATCGCGGCGACCAGCTCGAGGCCAGAGAGGTGTCTGGGAGGTGTCTAGGAGGTGTCTGGCCACGGGGACGGCCAGTTCACCGTGAGCTGCGGTTCTCAACTCAATTTCGGGCCGGCACGTTACCGACCGAGGTGTCTAGCAGGTGTCTAGGAAGTGTCTAGGAACTCTCTACAGGAAACTCGCCTCCGCCGTCGAGGCTGTCCAGGTCGTCGTCGTGCCGCGCGGGAGGAGGCTGGCGCGCCTTTGCGCGGCCCGACGCCGCCCGCCGCAGCGCGGCCGAGCCAGACTCGCCGAGCGCCGTCGACGCCGGCGTCGCGTCCCACGCGCCCTCGTCTAGGCTGTGCCCGCCGCGCGAAAGCGGCGGTGTCGTCGGCGGCTGGTCGGGCGTCGGAGTCGGATCCGGCTGCGCGGCCGCTGGCGGATCCGCCGGCGGCTGCGGCTCCTCATCGAGCGAAGGCCGGGGCGGAGGCGGCCACTGCTTCGGAGACTTTAGCGGCTTGCTGGGCGACTGCGCCGCGTCGCCGACGCTGCTCGAGCTGCCGCGGCTCATCTCGGCATCCTTCTTGCGCTGCGCCTCGCGCGTCTCCGCAGCAAGCTTCTTGTAGTACTCGGCCTTAGAGCGCACGGACATCGCGCGGGCTGCGAGGAGGAGAGATAGGTGAGGTCGAGCGTGCTGGGCCTGGCGTCAAGTTTGGCTTTGGAAAGAGAAATAAAAGAAGCGCGCGCACAGGAAAGAGATTTTTCAAAAGGCTCTCGCACACGCACGATTCACACGACAGACAAGGCGCAGACGACGGCTTCCTTGGAAAGAGAATTCGTCGTAGGAAAGCTCCAAATTTCCCTCGCACGACACTGGGCACGGGACACCACACTCCTTCCTTAAAATCCCTGTGTGGTGGCGGCGTGCCGTCTTCCCATCCCTCCCTTGCGCCGAATTGCTTCTTTCTTTCTTTCTGGGCACGGGACCGGCGCGCACTGGAAAAATGGAGCTCGGCTAGGGTTCGCAGCGACAGGAGCGAGTTCGCGCTGCGCTAGGCTCAGACGGCGACTTCGCGCTGCGCTAGGCTCAGTACGGCGAGTTCGCGCTGTGCGGCCTGCAGCTGGACCGCTCTACCTCGCTATAGCCGAAGAGACTCTAGCGTGAGTGAGTGAGTGAGTGAGTATTCTTGATACGAAACCACGACGACACACACCAGTCGACTCGCATCGGTTGCCTCCATGAACGGCGGAGCTATTCTCGCGCCCACACCACACCTGGCTCCAACGTGGACACGCCCATAGCTGGGGACACTACTAGGTCACGCATGGCATCACTCTAGCCTCCAAGAGAGAGAGAATTCTTGATACGAAACCACGACGACACACACCAGTCGACTCGCATCGGTTGCCTCCATGAACGGCGGAGCTATTCTCGCGCCCACACCACACCTGGCTCCAACGTGGACACGCCCATAGCTGGGGACACTACTAGGTCACGCATGGCATCACAGAAGTTTTATCTCTGGGCCCCGAAAGGCATCTCTAGCAGTGTCGTTACACATGCCCCCTCCCCTCCTGGGCGCATGCGCCTCACGTCTCGCCAGAGCATACGCCCTTGGTGTGTGGCGAGACGAGTTTTTCGCCATGCAGCGAGCAGCAAGCCGCCCGCCGCAAACAGCCGGAGGCCTCGCCGCGGCACTGGCTGCGCCGCGGTCCCGCACCCGTCGACGCAGCTCCCCCCGCGGAAGGCCGCGCGTAGCAACGTCTTGACGATCGAGATGAGCGTGCCTGAAGCTCGCCCACCTACTGCCCCTGAGAGTTGGTTATTGAGTGGGATCAGCTCCCCCCCTTGGGATCGAAGCCGCCACAACCTCACACCCAACATCCCAGGCGGGATCAGAAGGGGACTCCACACCGGACACCGCCCGGGCACAGCCCCCCTACCCGTCGGATCGCACAGAGGGCCCCCTCGGAGCAGCCCACACACAATCACGCATCGGCAGATTGAGTGCCTGAGTCAGGCAGACAGCACAGACAAGGAGAGGAGAGAGAGAGGAGAGAGAGAGAGAGAGGAGAGGGTGAGGGTGTGAACACACTTGAGGAGTGAGTGGGGAGGGTGTCTGTGGTGGGCTGTAGTCCTACTACGTGGTTAGAACCACGCGCCCCTCAGGAGCTTAAGGTAGAGCTGAGCGTCCAAGACGCCTCGGTGCCACCCACCGGCGTGAGACCATCCGGATCTGCCGGGGTCGCCCTCCGGACGGACCCGTCCCCGCGATGGCCCACGGTCCTCCGTCGCCTGGTTGAACCCCCTGCCTCCCGGTTGACCCCCCGGTCCCCGTACACGACCATGAAATAAACTCAAAGTCCACCACAGCCACCAGCCTCCACCTCCACCCTCGAGCCGCCACCGCTGCCGCCCGCGACGCCGCCCGCCGCGTCAGATAGCCGCGACGCGCGCACCGAGTCGAGTCGGAGAGCCGCACCGCACCAGCAGCAGCATCTGCACTACCAGCAGCAGCAGCAGCAGCACCACCACCACCACCCGAGAGAGAAGCGCACCTGCCCGACGCCGCCCGCCGCGTCAGACGCTCGCGACGCGCGCGTCGAGCCCAGTCGCACAGCCGCGCCGCGCCAGCAGCAGCATCGGCACCAGCAGCAGCAGCACCACCACCACCAGCATCAACAGAGACAGGCAGTGCAGGCGCAGAGGCGCTCGCAGAGCGGCGCTGAGCGCCGCGCACGCCACGCCGCGGACCGTCGGACGAGCGCACCGTACGTCGGCGGCGAGCCGCGTCGCCAGCCGTCTCGCGAGAGAGCGGCGCCGCCGCGTGCGCGCAGCAGCCGCCGCGGCAGAGGCGAGCCGCGGCGACGTCCGCACTAACGGATAACGGCCATTGGCGGTTCTCTCTCTCTCTCTCTCTCTCTCTCTCTCTCTCTAGCCTCCAAGATATAAAGAATTTTACGTTGCTCCCGCGCACCCAACACTGGGCGACGGCTAGCGCACCACACTCCTCTCCTTAAAATCCCTGTGTGGTGGCGGCGTGCCGTTCTCCCATCCCTCCCTTGGGTTGTGTGCTTTCTTTCTTTCTTTGTAAAATTCTTTTTTTTTTTTCGAGCCTGTCTGCTGTGAGAGAGAGTTCTTTTGTTTAAATTCTTTTTTACTGGGCACGGGACTGGCTCGCACTATCAGGCTTCCGATGGCGGCTGCGAGTCTCATCCGCTCTCCCCGCACCGGCTGCGTCTCCGCCTACATCAATCGGCTGCCTGACAGAGTACCGCCAGAGGCGCTTCCTCCTTCGCTCAGAGGCCTCCTCGTCCAGTCGCTACCGTCGCCAGAACGGGCTGCGAATGACTTTGCGCGACGCTTCCCACCAGCGCCCGCCCGGTGTGTCCATAAAGCGCCGTGCTAACCTCGCGTCTGCACTCGCAACAAATCCGCAGTGCGTCTGTAGGCGCGAACATCTCGGCGGCAAAAGTCCTCGCAGTGAAACGCGTGGCGCTGATGTGACACGTCCAGTGCTCATCTGCAGGCGGTTCTGGTCGAGCTTTGTGTCGCCGATGTGGCTTGGCGCTCCACGCATGGCGCTGCTCTGCTCGCGCGGTGCGGAGGCTCTCCTGCGCGAAGGCGGGCTGGACCAGTTTGGCTCGGTGCTCGACGTCGGAGCCGGGCCAGGCGACTAGGGGAGTGTCGAGGCAGCTGCTGCGTGTCACCTTCGAAACACCTCTGAGACACCTCCGAGACGCCACTCTCCCTACCTATCCTTGCGCTCCGCGTCCGCCCCAGGCGACGTCGTCGCACCTCTCGCGCAGCTCTTCCACACCGCGGGCGCGACGGAGGCTAGTCCGAGACACTTCCGAGACACTTCCTAGACACCGCGGGCGCTAGTCCTCCGCGAGACGAGTCCTCCGGTGGTAGCTGCAGCTCTTCACACCCCCACGCGTGAACAGGCGTCGTGGCCGTGCGTGCTGAGGCTGCGCTCTGCCGGGGTCGCCGCGGCGCGGTGCGACGACATCGCCGCCCTGCCTCCGTGGTGTGGACACTTCCGAGACACTTCCTAGACACTTCCTAGACGCCGCCCTGCCTCCGTGGTGTGGACATTTCCGAGACACTTCCTAGACACTTCCTAGACGCCGCCCTGCCTCCGTGGTGTGGACACTTCCGAGACACTTCCTAGACACTTCCTAGACGCCACCCTAGATGCTGAATGGGGGTCCGTGTAGTGCCGTCCGGAGTTATTCTCATTACGTTTTGGTGTATGCTGTCTTTATTCTGCATTCTATTACTATCGTTAGGCTCCGCGCCCACCTCCGCCTCGCCGAACGAGGCGAGATCTAGGCGAGATCTAGGCGAGATCTAGGCGAGATCTAGGCGAGATCTAGGCGAGATCTAGGCGAGAGCGAGGCGAGAGCGAGGCGAGAGCGAGGCGAGATCTAGGCGAGAGCGAGGCGAGAGCGAGGCGAGAGCGAGGCGAGAGCGAGGCGAGAGCGAGGCGAGAGCGAGGCGAGAGCGAGGCGAGATCAGAGAGGTCTAGGCGAGATCTTGGCGAGATGCGGGCGAGATGAGGTTGGTCGGCTGCAGCGCGGCGGAGTCGAGCGCGACACTTCAGTGAAGTTTCCCCTTTTTTCCACGGGCGGCATCGATGTCGTCTCCATATCTCCCATTTATCTCCCCATATCTCCCCATATCTCCCCCACATCTCCCCATATCTCCCCATATCTCCCGCAGGCGGCGTCGACGTCGTCTCGCTTCTGAATGTGCTCGACCGGTGCTCTGCTGTGGCGAGAGGAGATATGGGGAGATATGGAGAGATATGGGGAGGTATGGGGAGGTACGGGGAGATATGGGGAGGTATGGGGAGATCTGCTGTGGCGAGAGGAGACAGAACCGCCGCGAGCCCAGGGCGGGTGCCTTAGTGTTGTTACGTTTGACGCCCGCACTGGAACCAGGGCCCCTAGTACCAATCAGTTGGGATGGCGGCCGCGGCGTTGTAGGGGTTCGATTTCCCCCCCTCTCCGCCCTCCAGCTCGACGGCGCCGAGCCGTCCTCTGGCCCCACGCCCCCTCTCTCCTGAGCTCGCTGCACTCACTCGGGAGGCAGAGGGGCGAGGGCAGCCGACCGTGCATCATCGTCATGTGTTCAACACAGGTGCGATGCCCCACGCGCTCTGCTCCGTGACGCAGCCGCGCTGCTGCGGCCGGGAGGCCGGCTGCTTCTGGCACTGAGGCTCCCCCTCGACTGCTTTGTGCTTGGGCGGAGCGACCGGCCGAGAAGGCGCCGAGATCGGAGCGAGATCGCGCCGCGACGAGATCGCGACGAGATCGCGACGAGATCGCGACGAGATCGCGACGTTCACAGCTGCGACGCCGCGTGGCAGGCCGCGCGAAGGGCTGCTGCAGCCCGCCGTCGCCCCCGCCAGCTGGGCGGAGGCGGCGGGCGCGCTGGTGGCGGGGGTGACGGCGAGGGAGGGGCTCACACTCGAGGCGTTTGCGCAGGCGCCGGAGCCTAGAGGCGGTGTCACTTCTTGCAGGCCGACTAGCGCTCGAGAGGACACGGACCGCTGCCTCGGGCCGTCACTAGTGAGCCAACCCCTCGTACTCACACCGTGATCAGTTGGTGTGTGTGTATTCCATGTAGGTGCCGTACCTCTGCCAGGGCGATAGCAGCGACGCGCGCTTCTACGCGCTGGACGACTTTGTCGGCGTCTTCAGCGTCGCGAGCCGAGGTGGGGGTGGGGTGTCCCCGGGTGGCACAGTTTCCGCATCGACCAGCAAGCAATCCATGACATAGCGAGTATGTCGGCCCGCCATTGTTCGTGTGCGTGAGAGGGAGCGCGAGACAGACGGACATATACTCAGACACTCGCTCGATGTGGGCGGAGGTCACACAGAGCCTCGACTTCAGTCTTCAGAGATTAGTATGTTACTCGGAAAATACATTTATCTCTGTATTCTTCAAACCCGCCGGCTAGAGTAGTGTGGGCAGGACAATTGATCAGGCAGACTCCAGGTGCGTAAAGTAGTCAACTCGCACGACGGAGCCTCACGCGGCGTGCGCACTCGCTCACGTCCCGCGATATATAACAAATAGATCCAATACCCCCTCCCACCCACCTGCTGTACTTCCAGTGCTCCCATCGCCCTCCCGCCGTCGTCCCTTTCGCCCCCTCAAGCCGCCGCCGCCGCCATCGCCGCAATGGTCACCTCCACCTCCAAGGTGCCTGTCGCCTTTTTGCCCTTAGCCTTCGTGTCGTCACTCAGAAGCTCGAGCGTGTACGAGGTCGACTTCCCCAAAACGCTGAACAGCGTCACCCACGTCGACAGATCGATCTCGGCGTAGCCGAGGAAGTCATCCTTCTTGATAGGGTCCTTGTCCCACACCTCAAGCTTAAGCGGCTCCGTCTTGACGACCTATGCGCCAACCAGGCTGCGTACGCGGGGTGAAGGGGGCGCATCGGTCATGCCTGAGCGACGCGTTGCATTGAGCTCCAACTTCTCGTTCCATTCGGGGTTCAGGTTGTTCTGAATCACCTTAGACTTTGCGCTGTCCGTACCCGAGATGACCTGATACGCAGGCGTTGAATGTCAGCGGCAAACGATGGGGGAGCAGCGGCTCGCGCGTTGTTCGCGAAACCACAACGTACGGGTCACTCTTGTCAGGGCCGAAGTCCGCGTTTCGCAGCCCCGTTGCTCGCACGCACAGCACAGTGGCTGTGTGCGTGCTCGACCTCGAGATCTCCGCGGCCTGCGGAGACCCGCTGGGGGACTAGCACTAGCCGTCTTCCACATGGTCCCTCGCGGGGTCCCTGCTGCTCCTAATCTCTTCGTACATCCTCCTGCTGATCTCCGCAACGTCCTGCTCCCTCACTCGTCTCGCCCTGCGCGTCTGCTCCGCCTCACCGTCTTCTGCCCTGCGTCGTCTGGCGACGGGTCCTCCATAGTCGGTTGAGGTCGCCGCGGCGCCGGCGGCCGATGCCGTCTGCTCCGACTCCCCCGTCCCCGGGTCTGCCCTGCTCTGGCCTGCGCTAGTTTCTGTTTCGTCATCACCGGTGTCTCTCCTCTTCTTTCTCCTCTTCTTGTATGCTTTGTACACGCATCGCGTCGATTCTCGCTTCTCCCCTTTCCGCTTTTCGTCGCGCGTGAGCACCACCTGAAGCCCTCGGAATGGTGATGTGGAGTTGCGAAGGTGCTTCGGGTGCGATCATATACACATGAAAACGTAGTCGCGGGTGAGCGGCGCCCTCTGGGGCAGCAAGGCCAAGGGATGAGGATGGGGGGGGCGGGGGATACACATGCATCGCAACACACAGCTACTACTCGAACGCGGGGAGGGGGGACACACCACAGCCAGACGCGGACGCCTCGCGTCACAGCTCGATCGGGCACTCGTGTGAGCCTCTGAGGCTGCCCGCGTCGCCGTCGCCGCCCTCTTGCTCGAGTCGCTGCCGCTTGGGAGAGGGGACAGCTGCTGCTGCTCCGCCGCCGGCCGCCGCGCCGGCCGCCGGCGCGATGCCGCCCGCCCCGGAGGCCCACGCCGCGGCGGCCTGGCCGAGCGGTGTGGCTGGCGTGTGGAATGTACCTCCGTGATACGGCGCCTGCTGCTGCTGCTGCTGCTGCTGCTGCGCCTGCTGCTGCTGCTGCTGCTGCTGCTGCTGCTGCTGCTGCTGCTGCTGCGGGTTTGGCAGCGCCGCGGCGGGTGGCGCCTTGTTTGGCAGAGTGCCGTAGACGTGGACGACCGAATACTCGTACCGCGCGGGGTGCGCGTTGTCGGCGGCGAGGAGGGCGAGCACGTCTCCGTGAAACAAGTTGAGCGTCTCGCCGCGGTCCGCCTATCGCCTCGGCCACTCTCGGGTCATCTCGCGTAATCTCGGGTGATCTCGGACCACGAGCCGGCGGTCCGCCTTCTCCACCGAATCGTCCGCGTGGTGCCGCACGCCGATCGGGTTTGCGCCGAGCGCCGTCGCGACCGCGATCACGTCCTCGCCGCGCACGCCTTGCTCCGGCACCGGCCACGCCTTGGTGTCGATCCGGACGTGCTTCCTGCTGACGAGCGGGTCGTTGATCTCGAACGAGTTTGCGTGCTCGCGCGACGAGCGGCCCACGACCACCGCCTATCACCTCGGCCAGCCTCGGGTCCCCTCGGGCCCTCTCGGGCCCTCTCGGGCCCACGAGCGGCCGACAGCGACCGCCTCGTTGATCTTGCCCAGCGGAAGGCGAATCGGCCTGCGAGGGTCTTGCCCGCCCGCGGCCGCCACCGGCTCCGGTGCCAACGGCCGCAGCTCGAGCCGCCAAGACGGGCCGTGGCGCGGGGCCCCGGTCTCCTCCTCCTCCTCGCCGCCGCCACGCCGCCCCTCCGCCACGCGCAGCGCCGCCCCCGCCGGCGCAGCCAGCTTCCCCTCCCCCCGCCCCTCGAGCCCGGCCTGCCCCTGCTGCAGCAGCCGCTCGACCATCTCCTCCGGAAGGCCCAGCCGCCCTCCGCCCTGGCTCGACGCGCCGGCGGCGGCGAGGTCGCTGCTCGGCCCTGCAGCAGCCAAGCTCGTGCCTCCTGCCACGCCGGGGCGCGCCTGCGCCGCCAGCTGCTTGCGCAGCGCGTCGCAGATCTGGTGCAGCTCGCCCGTCGCGGCGACCTCGGACTCCAGCCTCGCCTCGACGGCGGCGCGGCGGGAGGCGGCCGAGGCGTGGGAGCGTCGCAGCGCCTCGAGCTCGATGCGGTCGTTCTCGGTGGTACGCCGCAGCCGCTGCACCTATGAGAAGGGAGATGGGGGGAGATGGGGGGAGATTGGGAGAGATGGGGAGAGAGGGGGAGAGATGGGGAGAGAGGGGGGGAGATGGGGAGAGATCAGGGGAGATCTGCGGAGATCTGGGGAGATGCAGCCGCCGCACCTCTTCGTCGCGCTCGTGCAGCGCTCTCTCCGTCTCGGACGTCTTGTTTGTCCACGAGCGCTGCAGCGCCGTCCAGCGCGCGATCTGCTCGCGGTGGTCCTGCTCCTCCCTGCGTCGCTGCAGCTGCTCCTGGTTGAGCGCCTGGCTCAGCTGCACCGCGCGCCTCTCGTACTGCCGCAGCTCTTCCACCTGCTGCCGCAGCACCGCGTTCTCCCGCTGCACCTCCTGCACCTCCGCCGCCCTCCCCGCCTCCGCCGCCCTGTCCGCCGCGCTGCCGGCGCCGCGCCCGCCGCCGGGCCCGCCGCCGGAGGAAGAGGAGGAGGAGGAGGAGGAGGCGCCGGCGGGGCGGGGCTGGCGGTACCCCCCGGCGGAGGCCGCCGAGGCGCGTGGCACCGCGCCCGGCCGCGGCTGCGGCTGCGGCTTTGAGTGCCATCCGGCGGCCGCGCCCCACGCCGGGCCGGCCTGCGCCGCGCTTCCCGAGGCGGCTGGCCGCTTGAGGTCGTACTCTCGGCGCTTGGCGGGGTCGGAGAGGGTGTTGTGCGCCTCGTTCAGCCTCTGGAACGCCTGCTGCGCCCCCGCCGCGTGGTTCTTGTCCGGGTGGATCTTGAGCGCCCGCTGCTGGTACGCGCGCTTGACGGCCGGCGCGTCGGCGTCCGGCGCCACGTCTAGCACGGCGTAGTGATCAGCGGCCTGCAGGACCCGGTCGATCGCCTTGGCCGCCTCGGAGCCCGGCCCAAACTTGACCAGAAAGTCGAGGAACGCCTGCGCCTCTTCCGTCTTGCAGATCCGCAGGCTCTTCTCCGCGAGGCGGACGGCGCTCGCGTGGTCGCCCGCGTCCTTCTTCGCGCGGGCCTTGGTGAGCGCGTCAATCGCGGACTCGCGGTTGGCCTCCATGGTAGCGGAGACGCGCGAGGGAGAGGCGCACGCTGCCAGGTCGCCGCCACCCGCACCGGGACTAGTCCCGGGTTCGGACTTTTTGCGGGGTATGGTACTCGATGCCTGACCAGCCTCCGCCCCACCGCCGGCCGCCTTACTGCTAGGCTCCAGGAGGCTGCAGACACCGGCCCCGCGAGAGCAGACACCGGCCCGGCGAGAGCCGCCGCCGGGTGTGTCGCGACCGCGAGGCTCGCGGCGATGGACGCGCGGCCAGACCCGCTTTGCGCCGCCGCCCACCCTCAACGCCCGATAAGCGATATATACTCCTTACTCGCTTAGAGCCAGGCGAGGGGAATCTAGGGGAGCGACAACGTCGGCGCTGAGAGCCTGGGAGGTGCGGCTGCCGGGACCTTCTCCGCCCCCCCCCCCCCCC